GCGCCTCCTGCCCGGAAATGGACTTCTTGTTCAGTATGAGCACATTAGAGATGTCGTCAGTGTGAACCTTCAAGCAGAATATTAGCATTGGAGAGAAGTGAATCTTCTGGGCATATGCATACCTTCTCTTTCAGGTCTTTCAAGACCTGGGATCGTTCTCGCTTGAGCAAGTTCAATTTCTTCAAAATGGACTCAACCATGGAAATCTGTTCTGCTACTGAAAGCCCTCCCTCATCGTAAACATCGTCTATCAGGCTTCCTTCCGATGTTGGCGCGTAAGGGCTACTGTGGCCATTCTTGCCTTTGCTAAACTTAGACCCGGCCTTGATCATAGCCCGCTGGAATAATACATCGGCCTCGTCTGTTTCTCCCGCAGATCGCATCTCATCAAAGTCCGACTCATACTGTCGAAACGTAGAGAGGAGTTGAGAATCGCTGGCACTGGCTTCATTGACGGTGTCCCGATATGTACGAACATCGCCGCGTAATGTAGTATTCAGTCTTGCACTAGGCTGCTGACTCCAGTCAGGTCCGTACTTAGAGCGCATCTTTTCGCACACACTTTCCTCCATGTCAAGTTGCTTGGCGCACTGATCTAGCTGGGCCAGCACTTCCGATTTGCGCTCCTGCAAACCGTCAAACGCTTTGGTGAAAGATTGATGCCCCGCAAGATCTTGACACCATCGTCGGAACTCATCATCAACTGTCATCTCCTGGTCCATCCCGCCCTTGAGAATGTTCAAGCTTCCAGGTAACTTCAGATAGTCCAAACTCGCGGCCATTTCTCCATTTGCTGTTTCAACTTTCTCCGTTTCCGCCCGTATCAACTTCGCCTTTTCCTCGTCATAGAGACTGGCTGTCTCCGTGACGGACATAGGTACGAGTTTCTGAAAGATATCCGGCCCGATGATCCGCTGGATATCCTGTCCCTGATAGAGCTCGCTGACTGGGATGGCCTTTGCCGCAGGCAGCTTTGCAACAGCTGACAGGCCCGCTTCGTTCGGAACGGGCTGGTGGTAGATGAAATCATTGTCCTTAGTGAATGTCACGAGCTTAGCCTGTACAGTTGCAAGGTGATATTTAACGATGTCCAAGAGAGTAGACCCCGACTCGGCGCTCAGGTTTGAATTAGGAGGTACGGAAGATGGGAAGGACTTGGCCCAACTCAATGCAGCAGTTGAGTTCTTCTCAGCTAGCTGAAGCCTAGCAATGGCCACCCCATGCGACCCGCTCTCACTGTCAGCTAGGGCTTGGTAATAGGAAGCTACAGAAGCCATATGCGCCGCTTTAGCTTGAACCACAACCACCCAGACTTTCTCAAAGACACCCTTCGCATACTCTTGCACCCCCTCAACTGCCTGTGAGTATAGATAAGCCGATTGACTGGCGAGTTTTGCAAGGAAGCCGACCTTCTTATGGTCGGCCACTTGTTTCTCAAGGAAGACCTCTTGACCCTGGGCTAGGGTGATGTTGATCAGAGTCTTAACAGTCTCTCGGTTCAGGTCGGTCGACGGCGCGTGTAAGAAGTTCTCGTTGATATAGGTAAACATTCCCGCGGCCGCCTGGAATGAGTGATAGGCGGTTTTCAGGCCCGAATCCTCCGCCCTGTTCTGGTTCGCAGCATGGCAGGACAGGACGGCGGATATGTTGAAAATGATTGAGGCCTTCTCGAAAGCTAGGGAGTATTGAGAGGTGGGCTTGTGTGTGAAAGCATCGTACCTATGATGAGATACCTTATGTTAGGGGGTTGAGTAACAAGAAAATTAGGGCGGTTGGAAGGTATGGCCAGATACATACCAAGTGAATGATATTTTTATGTGATTTTCGTCCACAGGAAACCTCAGATCGAGGAGCTCCAGCTGCCCATAATACCGATACAATAGGTCGCGCCCTGTCGCACTATCTTTCCCCGCGCCTCTCATGTCCTGTCGCAATCTGTTGAGGGTTGCGCATTCTTGGCCATATCTTTCGGGGTCTTCACCATAGCTCTGGCGTATGTAGTCCTTGAGTGGTTGGATCCAATCGATTTCGTTGGTCTGCTTCAGCGGACATGAGATCATTGGCGACTGAACCATCTTGTAGGTCGGAAGGAGCGGGAAGCTCCCATCCACAGACGGAGAAAATACAACGGAGCCGAACTGGAGGTACGAGGGCGAAAGAATAGCTGGGTGGGCTTGCGCGGTGGAAGGGAGGAGGGGAGGATTATCGGCAATGGAGAGCTGTGGGGTAAGGAAGGCAGGAGGTCAACAAGGTTAGCGGAACGTAGCTGAGGGTCGTTAGCCAAGATTAGTGGGGACACGGGGGAAGATATCCGAACCGGGTGATATTATACGTAAGAGAGAAAAGCAAAAGAAATTGGACGGGACGACAGACCAAGTTGTGTTCGAGGAGATGGTGGTTGGAAACTCAGGTAAAGGTTGGAAGGCAACGACTTTGGTTTAGTTTACCATTTTAATGACGCTGTGGCCCATCGACTCCTTAGGCGCCAATATGGCTGAATAACCGCCCGAGTAATTTCCTTGCCTGATTTTCATGGCACTCCCGTGAACATAGTATATAGAAGAAGTAGAGAATGTCTTTCGTGCGTAAGGTCTAATTATACATACATAGATACATAGATACATACAGTCCCGGCCTCTCTATTGACACACGACCGTTTCTCCCAAACGGTCGAAATGAACGCAGACACACAAAATTTCCCAACTCTCGTAAATGGTGAACCCCTTATCTCGCCGGCGCTATGATATTGCGACAAAACAAAAACTCAAATACGTAGTGATAACATGACCCTGAAGGAAGTATATTGAAGCCTTGATTATGTCACTTGAACTTCTTTCAGTCAGACTTCTTCTCGCCGTCGTTCTTGCTGCTGTAGCCTGATTCCTTCTTGCTCGATTCTTCGGGTGAGTTCTCACACTTGTTCACGAGTTTGTGCCAAGCGGATTTGAGAAATCCTTCATTTTTGGAGTCTCCTGTGGAAGCGTCCCCTCCGGATGGTGGGCTGTGTGTTCGTCAGTACCAGTAGCAGGCAATGCTGTCCAAACCCGCGTAACTCACCTATCCTTTCCAACGCCCATGACTCGCTTGGCGGTCTTGTCACCCATCTCATCCGCAAGGACTTCTAGAATAGTTCGCTGGTTACCTGTCAGGTACTTGGGCATGGCAACCTTGAACTCGACCTTGAGATCACCAGTGGGGCTGAAGCGACTCGTACGACTACCAAGTCGCTTCATACCCATTCCAGAAAGTGTGACCTTGTCGCCGGTACCAGTACCCGTGCCAACCTTAATCTTGACTTCACCATCCAGGGTCGGCACGGTTACTTCACCACCCAAAAGAGCAGTCGTGAGGGGAATCTGAGCCGTATAGAGAATATCGGAACCGGAACGGCTGAATCTATGGTCAGGAGAGACCCGGATGGAAACGTACAGGTCGCCTCGTTGTGTGCGGGCTCCGGGTGCGGCAGATGTTCCGGTGGGTGGTGCATCTCCTTCGTTGCTCACTCGCAAGCGCATGCCATCCTCTACACCACCTGGAATGTCAACCTGTACAGTCTTTTTGCCCCTGACCACACCGTTGCCATTGCAGGAGCCACACTCCGAGCCCCTTGGGACAGACATGCCTGCACCTCCACAGGCATCACAAGTGGCTGCCACCTGGAAGCCTCCCTGCATAAAGTGCACACGAGTTCCAGAGCCGTTACATTGACGGCACTGTGTGCGTTTGGCGCCTTTCTTAAGCCCGTCGCCGCTACATGTACCGCATGGAGTCAAAGGCGTGATAACGATATCTTTTGATGTACCTTTTGCGGCTTCCATGAAAGAAATGTTGGTCTGGACTTCAATGTCTTCGCCTACCAGAATTTCTTGGAACGGGCCCCGTCGGCCTCGACCAGCACGACGTGCGCCACCTGTGAAAGCGCCAAAGAGATCCTCAAAATTGATATCTGCTCCCCCAAAACCACCAGGGAAACCACCCCCAAAGCCACCGCCAAATCCGTGGAACCCACCGGCACCTGCGAACGGGTTACCGCCGGCTGCGCTGGGATCGAAGCCACCATTTTGGTCGAACGCTGAGGAGCCAAATCGATCGTAGTTCTCACGCTTCTTGGGATCGGAAAGTAACTCATAAGCTGTCTGGGCCTCCGCGAACTTTTCCTTAGCATTTGGCTCCTTGTTGGTGTCCGGGTGGTATTTCTTTGCCATTCCATAGTAGGCCTTCTTGATATCGCCTGCGGATGCATTTTTATCGACTCCTAAGACTTTGTATGGGTCGGAGATCGCGGCAAGGGGAGCAGTAGTATGGAAAATCTATATAGGCCAGAAGTGAAATCAGTCATGACTCGATGATGAACATGTTTTAAAGGCAGCTTAGCTTACCCTCGACGAGGAAAACACAGATTGCTTCTTATTAGTTGCACCACTTCGCACCCGCTTGTCATTTGATGAAGTCGGTGAGGCATGGTAGGCCCGAACGCTGGTTGCTGGGCTCCTCGAATATTGTCGCGAAGTACTCCGGAGTAAACGGGCGGGAATAGCCGCGGCCTTGGGCATTGCGGCGGAAGTAGCGCTCATGTTGTGAAATAAACGGGCATTAACTCAACGGACAGACTGGACCAGGAGGAGAAGGGGGTGATTTGAAATCAATGGTGTTGATTTGGAAACTCCGAGTACGCCAGCAACTGTTTTAAGCCGAGTTTTGCCGCCTCCTGATATGGAGAAACTTAGAAGCTTCGAGTCGTTCCGCTCGAAAAAGTTTCCCGACCGGAGAAACAATTGACCGAGACGATGATGATGAAAGGCTTCTTGCTTCGGTAATCAATCACTCTACCTCCACTAGCTGCTGTCCGACCATTGCTCCTGAAGCTTCTCATTCTCCCCCGAATCCCTTTTTCTTTTTTAATCTTCCCGTGAGGATCTCTGTATTCTTGTGTTTTATTCCTGTACTATATCTCCCCTATATCCCTATTCTTCTTCCGTATTCGCAGCTACCACTATAGCATGCTCCGCGGCCAGTCCCTCCCCTGGAGAGCTGCGCTCCACCAGACACCGCGCCCATTGATTATTCGGCCCCTGCTCGCTTCACCGAGATACAATGCCAGTGCCCGGTCAATCCTAGTTTCGTCGCGCCTCTCCCGCTCCATCCCTCCCTCCCGCACCTTCTCGTCAAGCTCCATTCGCCGAAGAGAAAAACCCCCACCCGGAGACGGCAAGGAAGACCCGGACCATAAAGAGCAGAAGGAAAAGAATGAGGATAAGGATGTCGAACGCACTTCTGAGCCTCGACGCAAAGTTACCGATCAGTCAGGGAAACATGGCTCATCAACAGAATCCGGAGCTCGACATCGGGATCTACGAAACGGAGAGAGAAGCAGGCGGTGGACAAGGAGCAACGAGGATTGGATGACGATGGAAAGAAGCCTAGTAATGTAGCTGAAGGTAGGGGAAACTCCAATGAGCCATCTCCTATCCCTGTCAGTGGCGACTCGGATTCTAAGCCTAGTGGCGCAAACAACGGAGGCAACGAAGATGGTGGAAAGAAAGGCAAGAAGGGCTCCGGCGACAAGGCTTTGCAGAAGCCTTCTGTTCCTGAAGTTTATCCTCAGGTCATGGCCATTCCCATCGCGAAGCGCCCGCTATTCCCCGGCTTTTACAAAGCCATCACTATCCGAGACCCGAATGTAGCAATGGCTATCCAAGACATGATGAAGCGTGGGCAGCCTTATGTGGGAGCTTTTTTGTTCAAGGATGAGAACGCTGATGGAGATGTGATCGAAAATCTCGATGATGTATACGATGTTGGAGTGTTCGCTCAGATTACTGCTGCTTATCCTCTTCGTGGGGAAGCTAGTGGCGTGACAGCTGTGCTTTATCCTCACCGACGCATCAAGGTCTCATCTTTGTTGCCACCCAGTGATTCGACGAAGGCTTCCACCACAGAAGATAAGCCGTCTGAAAAACAAGGTGACGTTGTAGCCAGCTTTGAAGAGGGAACTCAGGAACTCGCAGCCAAGGATCACTACGAGCCTACATCATTTTTGCGAAAGTATCCAGTCAGCTTGGTCAACGTAGAGAACCTGGCGGAGGAGCCTTATGACAAGAAGAGCGCCATCATTCGTGCAGTGACCAGTGAGATCGTCAATGTCTGCAAAGAAATCGCCAGCCTGAACCCCCTGTTCCGCGACCAGATCTCCGCCTTCTATACCGACCAGTTCCCTGGAAACTTGAGTGACGAGCCATCTAAGTTGGCTGACTTTGCAGCAGCTGTTTCTGCCGGAGAACTGCAGGAGATGCAAGAGGTCCTCGAAATAATGGATATTGAGGAGAGACTTCCCAAAGCCTTAGTGGTATTGAAGAAAGAGTTAATGAACGCGCAACTTCAGTCAAAAATCTCAAAAGATGTGGAGGCTAAGATTCAAAAGCGCCAACGTGAGTACTGGCTAATGGAGCAGATGAAGGGCATCAAGAGAGAGTTAGGTATCGAATCCGATGGCAAGGACAAGCTTGTTGAAAAGTTCAAAGAGAAGGCGGAGAAGCTTGCTATGCCAGAGGCTGTCAAGAAGGTCTTTGATGAGGAACTCAATAAGCTGGCTCATCTGGAACCGGCTGCTTCAGAGTTCAATGTCACCCGCAACTATCTCGACTGGTTGACACAGATACCCTGGGGCCAGAAGAGTGTTGAGAACTTTGGCATCCAGCACGCAACATCCGTTTTAGATGAAGATCACTATGGCCTGAAAGATGTCAAGGACCGTATCCTTGAGTTTATTGCCGTTGGAAAACTTCGCGGAACCGTCGAAGGCAAGATCCTTTGCCTTGTGGGACCGCCTGGTGTTGGAAAGACTAGTATTGGAAAGTCAATTGCCCGGGCCTTGAACAGGCAATATTACCGCTTTTCCGTTGGAGGTTTGACGGATGTCGCGGAAATCAAGGGGCACCGCAGGACCTATGTGGGTGCCCTTCCGGGACGCATCATCCAAGCCCTCAAGAAATGCCAGACGGAAAATCCTTTAATTTTGATTGATGAAATAGACAAGATCGGGCGCGGCCACCAGGGGGATCCGTCTTCTGCACTCCTCGAGCTTCTTGACCCGGAGCAGAACTCCTCCTTTTTGGACCACTACATGGATGTCCCAGTGGATCTGTCCAAGGTTCTCTTCGTTTGCACGGCCAATGTCACTGATACGATTCCCCGCCCTCTACTCGATCGAATGGAGCTCATCGAACTGTCAGGATATGTTGCGGATGAGAAGATGGCTATTGCTCAGCGCTACCTAGCCCCTGCTGCTAGGGAACTGACGGGCTTGAAAGACGTCGATGTTACTCTGAAAGAGGAAGCTATTGAGGAGCTCATCAAATCTTACTGCCGTGAAAGTGGTGTTCGGAACCTCAAGAAGCAAATCGAGAAAGTTTACCGCAAGGCTGCTTTTAAGATCGTACGTGATCTCGGAGAGGACGTACTCGCCGAGGACAAGGCTCTGACCGATGAGGGCAAGGCTGCACAGGAGGAGTCGAAGAAGGAGAGCGAGACTGCCGACTCTGCTAATGCCACAGCCGAACCAGAGAAAGCAACGACTGAAACACCTCGTGTTGCCCTTAAAGTTCCAGAGGGGGTGCAGCTCAGCATCGGCAAGGACAGCTTGACTGATTACGTTGGACCCCCAGTTTTCACGTCCGATAGGCTGTATGAAACATTCCCACCCGGCGTCACAATGGGCCTTGCTTGGACCAGCATGGGAGGCGCTGCGCTGTACGTTGAGTCCATTTTGGAGAACGCTTTGACTTCCGAATCCCGACCGGGTATCGAAATCACCGGCAATCTCCAAAATGTGATGAAAGAGTCTTCCCATATCGCGTACTCCTTTGCCAAGTCGGTGTTGGCTAAGCAATTCCCGGAGAATAAATCTTCGAAAAGGCAAGACTTCACATGCATTGCCCAGAGGGTGCCGTGCCCAAGGATGGTAAGTCACATTTTTGCACTATTCCCTATACATCCAGCTAACAGTATCAGGCCCATCTGCTGGTATTACAATGGCATCATCCCTTCTCTCCTTGGCGCTGAACCACTCTCTCGACCCGGCCATTGCTATGACTGGAGAATTGACCGTGACTGGTAAAGTTTTGCGTATTGGAGGGTTGCGCGAGAAGACCGTTGCTGCTCGTCGTGCCGGTGCCACAAAGATCATCTTCCCCGCCGACAACACGTCGGATTGGCTGGAGCTGCCTGAGGTGAGTAATTTGTTTTCTGCTTCGATTCTCACTTCATGATCTAACCATTGTTCAGAACATCAAAGAAGGTATTGAAGGCCATGCAGTGAGCTGGTACTCGGAGGTATTCGACTTGCTCTTTACCGGTTTGGACAAGGACGCAGCCAACCACATCTGGCAGAAGGAGCTCGCGGAAAAGTCCAAGAACAAGTCGACTAAGGACAATGAGGACGATGACTGAATTAGTTCCTTGATGCTCTTGATCTGACTTGGTATATACTACGCTTGCCATGGTACCTTGGTGTTTTTCTTTCTGGTCACGTACAGGCGTTGTATCGCGGAATGCATGGTCGGAGTTTTCCTTTCTTTTTGCTTTTACTTTTGCTTTTGCTTCATTGATGTGTCACTGAAAGATTTGTATTTGAGCTGAGTTGGAACTCAGCCATGGATGTGATAGAAGAAGTGATTTCCTCGGATTCAATACCCGGTGAAACGGCTATGATAGAAGAGAAGTCCCCACAACGACCACTCCACTCTGATTGAGGAGGTGAAATGGATGTCATCATCTCTTGTATGTATGTTTATGTATATATACCTCTCTCCTGCTATATTATCGTATGAAGCAGTCACGTCAAAAGAAGTGTCTACCACAGAAGCCTCCGAGATTTCCATCTCACGGGAACAAAGAACAATGGCGCGATCAGGACAAACCGAGGATCCAGCTGCAGTTCCAAGTACTATAGCAACACCTAACAATCCCCAGACCCCCAAGGCCGCCCCGCTAACAGATGCGACAAGCCCAATGCCTGGGCCCCGACCAAGTAAAGCGTCTAGAGACATCCAGGCCAAACGTAATGCTTCTACAAAGGCAACCGGTAGCGACAAAAATCGACCTGATGATTGGACATGTCGCACTCTGCCCTGGACAAGACCACCACACATCATTCTCATACGTCTCCGAATTCATAAACAACCGGACCAAACGCAGTCTACGGTACAAACGCTGGAACCCTCCTCTCATGAAGGCTGATCTGAGTGAAGCAGGGGCTTAGGTGTCGCACGACGTGTACAACTAGAGTATACCCTGGTATTCTGGTATAACCGAACGCCGTCATCGAGTCCATGTCGTATTTCGCCCCGACATTTCTTGGAATTGGGTCCGTTGGGTTTTACATCACACATGACACTCAAACGCGTCGGACAGTCAGGTCTGCAATCATTTCTATCCCTAGGCTAACGAGTTTGACAGTCGCATGCGTTATCTGAAGCTAAACTCATGTCGTGACCGTCGGTTAAATCTCAACGTTTCTCAGGGCGTCTACGGGTTGGACCCTGGGTGTTCTATTACTCGGTGGCCTGGGTGGGGACCAATTGGTACTGAGTCTACGGGCCAGTGTCTATTGGGTGGCTTTTCGTGCTTGTCTTGGTTGTCAGTTAGTGCTGGGCTGCGTACCTGATGGTTGCCAACCCGACGAGCGTAGCGGGAATACGGGAAGTGGAGAGCTGGGGATATTGTGTGTTACAATGGGCTACTTTGTACTATATTTATACGTTCAGCTTTGGTGTTTAGAGAATGCCTTTTTTTTAATCTTGGGTACGTGCTGTGGTTGAATGTTGTACGGATTTGGAAAGCGTTTGGCAGGGTAGAGAATGGTGGCTAGTGCGGATCTTTGGACTTTATGGGCGGTTTTTGCTTTTTAGTGCTTTCCATTAGTTATATAGATGGCCTCTAGAGGAAGTGCTCAGTTGCGGAGTTGCTGAATCTTGGGGCAATGTGTATTGTCGAAGTTGAGAGTCTTATGAACAACCTGCGAGGGACTGACTATTAGCTGTCATAGATATTGCCTTGCTCGCATGCATCAAGGATGTATGGTAGATTTGCGCAAGTCTGAATAACAATATAATCCTATAGGCAAATTTTATTTGAATGTGGACTGAGCCAGAGCCTAGGGGTTTGCTCAAGCTGCCACTCAATTACATTTGAGACTCTGCTGCCTCATGGACTCGGAAACTTTTCTGGTAAAGTTGAGATGCCAACCTTGCGTTTGCGTCTAATGCAGATCTCGGATATTTTTTCAACGGACCAGTATCTGCACTTCTGGGTTTGATACGTATCAGGCCGGCTTGGTGGCGTCTATTGTCAAGCTCCCGGCAGATTGGGATTTGAACTAAGGGGAACTGCGGCGGATCAGGGCCCTCCTATGACAATAAATGTTGGTAGATATGACAGCGTCTGTGAAGCAACCCTTTCCCAGTATATGATGCACCAGGAAGGTGGCGACCCACGCAACAGGGTAACACCTGGCCCAATGAAGCGGCCAGAGTCAAGAGTTCAACTTTGACTGACTTTTGCTTCCACAGATTGCTCTTCAGTGCTCCAACACTGACATCTGGCAACGTAACAATGGTATAGCGTACATCGAATGACCGTTTGCTCTGACATCATTCCAAAACCATATGGCGTAATGTATGTGAGAGATCTTGGGGTGGAAGGGTACCTCAGGTGGGAGGGGATGAGTCTGAGGGGTCCTGCCCAGTGGTGGGATGCAAAGCAGTAAATCTTGCTCAGGCCTGGCATAGTCGCATTTCAACCCACCATAAGCTATATGGTGTTGAGGCTGAGTTGCGGTTAGTGTCGGTTGTCTGACGTCCAGTTCAAAAGATATACTGGCATGTCAGGTGATGATTGCTAGCGACTAGAACGGGAAAGGAAGTCGTGCCCATGGACCTGAAGCGTGTAGCAGTACGGGTGGACAGTATTTAGTAGACAACCATCGGGAGCTGTCGAACGAATCAACATTTGGGGCTTATCTTTTGAACAACCTTCCGAGGACACGTTCCCAGCGCGCTGACAACTGGATGAAAACCAATGATGCCATTTCAATGCAGGAGTCCCAAAGAAGAACGTGGGCTGGGGGACCCTGTATTCTCCGCCGGATAGCATCTTGACTGTCTGTTCTCCACGATCAGCATCCGGCCCGCGTCAGAATGGTCTATCCTGTGAATTTATGCCTGGGTGTCTTATGAAGAAGTGAGCGTCGATGACGAGAGTGCATCGCATTGCAGCTCTGGCGTCCACTGCAGGTGCGCAAAGTGTCCCGAGGCTTGTTTAATTAACATCAACCCTTTGTTCGGGTATGTGAGATGGAAACTGGGAAAAGAACAGACAACCAGAGAGGTGTCATCGTTGATGCAACAGTTGTCCTGTATCCGTAGGAAAGAACGTGACCTCCATCGGGAGGGTTCTGTCTGGAGACTGGTTGTCGAGGGAGCCAGATGGAAGATGATTGGATGCATTGCGAGGGGTTGAGTTGTTCTACGGGAGCATCACTTTGAAAAAGTTTATGTCGAATGAGAACTATCACTATTTGCTACTAACTTGTCACTAGTCAATAGTCTATGTACAGTAAGACTCTTGGTAGGTTCAATCGTGAACCCATACCTAGTGAGATAGACCTGTTTATGGTGTGAAAATCTACTCTATTCGGACAGCGTGGCCCCCGACGCTCCTTTATATCTATATTGGCGGTTAGAGCGACAGGCTCGGCTAGTGGGATGGATGTACGAGGAGTATTCGTCAAGAAGAGCATACGACAACAATCAAACAGATAGTGAAGCCCATCTCATCGACGAAGGTCATTGGGGCCACCTCATAGAGGGAAGCTATAGGGTGGATCGGACATTTTGGTGAGCAGGAACCGGGCTTCGAGAAGAACCTGGGCTATGCATTTGCAGTAGTGGGTTGATCTGTTGCTATTTTACGGAGTACTCCTATCGATTATCGTGCTAATTTCGTACTAGGTCTTTTATGGTAAATTAATACTCACTAATGTGACCATATGCATCATGATCTATACTCCAAACGTCCGGGTGTGGAACTGAAACGAGACTCTTTGATAGGGCTGATATTACCGCCTTGCACGGGGGCCCTAACCCCCAAGGGACTCTTGTGATGATAGACAGACTTTATGAGCCACCATGTCCTGTTGATGGGAGCCTCTTTTTTCTTATATGATGACGTATGGAGAAATTGAAAACCATTTATTAACCTGGCATCCCTTGCGGATAGCGGTCAGTACTAGTACTAGTATGGTCTCATCATGGTTGGAGGATGACTGGGATGGTTCAGGCACTGTCAGGCCGCAGTGCATCTCCACTTTATGTTTTGTCTCTGATTGACGCTTTGGGGATCCGATCCGACGTAAGGGCCATTTGATTAGTGCATTGGATTTCTTCCACGAATTTTCCATTGGGTTTTCCATGTGTAATTCACGCCTCTCCTTTTATGTATTGAATTAGTTTCTATATTCCCATTTTCCAATGACAAAATTGGTTGATTTATTTAGAATTTTCCTCCCCTGTTGTCATCCCATCTTGTTAAGGTCGTGATGGTGGTTGGTCTTGTGGGCGGTGTAGGAGTCTAGTAACTACTCTAGTACTAGTTAGTAGTGCTCTCACTCCTCCCGTTAGGTACCGACAGCCTTGAATATTAACCTAATGCACTTATCGTAGTGATCGTATCCCTTAAAACCAGTCAGGAGGCTTTGCAAATGCACCGTTAAAACCTCCAACAGACTTCAAACCAACCCAAACCCAACCACCACTGACTATAACCGCCAACCAGCCCGTGCAGCTGGGCAACAGTCAACATTTGCCGATCAATTGATCGCATAGTCACCATATTCTCATCTTCGACTACCATCGTCCTTTTCCCTGTCTGTACCTATCCAATCTATCTGTTCTATCTATCTATCAGTCAATCATTATCGTTCCTCCCATGAACCTGGATCACTTTGCCGCTCACTGTCCTCATCAGTGATATCCGACATTGTGCGACTAGTGGGACTGAGGCCAAAATCCTGGACGAACAACAACAACAACTCAAGTTACTCACCGACTTCTTGTTCATGGTTTACATTTCCTTTTTTTGACTTTTAATTACTCTATTTTTATACTCTTTTTCTTCGTTCCATAGTTCCTGTTCTTGATTTTCACAATCAGGCCGTGCCAATTTGAGCCGCCCCTTTAATAAGATTTTTTTTGTTTTATTTTTTTATTTTGTGTTTTTTTTATTTTTTACCTTTCCCCTAGGTCCAAGCGAAATCATCCCACACTACTGAGTCAAGGGCGAACGCGTCTCAATTCTTATGGACATCGCCATTCCAGCCACTGGGGGGTCTTACTCATTCCTTGCACAACCTCGGACTAGCAATTGTGCCGTGCCGTATGGCCATCTCGATCGCAGACAGTTCTTGTAGTCCGACTAGGTCTCTGGGTCTTTTGCTGGATCCAGAAAAGGCCGACCTCCCTCGTCCCAAACAGAGCATGTGGCATCGCTTTGGTTTGCGCAGATGGCTGGGTCGTGATGATCGAGACTCTTCTTCCCAGTCCACTGCGGGGGGCACCTCCTTCCCCAGTCATAACGACAAAAATAACAACATCAATGATACAAGCAATGTCAATGCCGGCAACACCAAACCTCATGACAACCTCACTCGCAAACTCTCAAGAAAAGTCGGCGTCGGCCTTCCCAGGTCTACCACATTCAAAAGACAGAATTCCGAGCGTCGTGATAATCTAGCCCCCTTGGAACCAGGGCCCCGTCGTGCCGCTTCCGCCGACCGACCTCGCACACTGAGCGCCCAGCGGACTCGGAGCCGGTCTCCACCGCCTGCCGTCGACCCCAGATTGTCCGCTCCCGAGGTTCCCTGGCACGATCCGGACGAGACCACGGTTGAAGAGCTTCCAGAAGCGAATGAGGATAGCGATCTCCGCTCAGAATGGGACCCCTATCCGGCCATGACGGAAGCACCCGAAGAGCCGCCGGAAGATATCATCGAGATGGAGTTGGAGAAACGGTGGATTTTGAACTTGAGCATGCACTTTCGCGACCGCTCCGAGCGTGAAAAATTTTTCGTCACATATGCAGAGACGCCCAATCGCTGGCGAAGGGTTACCATCTCCTGCGATTACCGCGGCGCCCCTCCCGATTCGCTTGAGCAAGACCTGAAGGAATTACGCTACCAACGAGACAAATGCGCCCGGATCTATGAATCAATTCGCGAGTCATTAACTGAAATTCAATTCTACGACACAGTCACGAATCTGAAGTTGGAAACTCGGGATGGCCGATTGCACGTACACGTAACGGAAGACGTTAACGAGATCATCCCTTACCCACCCATCTCCTGCATTGGCCACTTGCCCGACTCTCGACTCGTCTGCGAGGATCAGCTGCATTTCGAGGCGCACTTGTCGGGATTTGTATATAATGTACGACTGAATGGCAAGTCTTACATCAAAAAGGAGATTCCCGGCCCTGACACGGTGGATGAGTTCTTATACGAGATCAACGCGCTACATGCATTGCAAGACATTCCGAACGTTGTCCAGGTAGAAGGGGTGGTCGTCGACGAACATGAAGAAGTAGTCAAGGGCTTGCTCATCAGCTTTGCGGAGAAGGGAGCGTTGGTTGACATTTTGTACGAGCACCGAGGTACAATCTCATGGGAGCAACGGGAGCGCTGGGCGAAACAAATCGTTCGGGGTCTTTGTGAGATTCACGAGGCTGGCTATGTGCAGGGGGACTTCACTCTGTCCAACATTGTGGTGGATGCCAATGATGATGCCCAGATCATAGATATCAATCGACGAGGCTGCCCTGTAGGATGGGAACCTCCTGAAATTGCTGCGAAGATTGAAAGCAACCAACGAATTTCCATGTATATCGGAGTCAAAACAGATCTTTACCAGCTAGGAATGACGCTATGGGCGCTGGCGATGGAAGAGGACGAACCCGAACGACAACCACGTCCGTTAGTACTGGGCCCAGATGTGGACGTACCAGAATATTATCGAAGGCTGGTGGCCGTCTGCTTGAGCTCGAGGCCTCGGGACCGGCTATCAGCCAAGGAGCTTTTAAATTTCTTTCCGCGCGAATATATACCAACAGAGCAGCCTCCTTCCTTGATGTACCCACGACATCTGAGCCATGGGATAGGGCTGAACAATGGCGCTCTACCATTATATAATCACCGAGTCATTGCGGCTCCGGGGGCTTTCTTAAATCATCATGCTGGGCCTGTAGATAGCACGGGATGGCATCTCAGTGCCCCATTATCACCGGACGATGGATACGATCCGCAATATCTTGACCCAAATTTTCTTGCAGGATTCGAAGGAGAAGAAGAGCAGCGAGGCAGGACAAGGGAAAGGCGAGACAGCAAGCCTCTAGAATCCAACCTTAGGCCAGAACCTCACAGCTTGGGAAATCATCTAGATCCAACGGCATTTGCCGCTCCAATACCGTTCTCGAGAAGCTTGGAGAGTGACCAGGCACGGACGCACCTAACTACTCAAGGGGGTGGAGAAAATGAAATTGATCTAGACGCAGATTTCGATCTTCGCTATCGGGATATTTCTCTGGATCGAGCAGCAAACTTACTGCCCTTGGAGGCTGACACTTTATCTGGGTCACTTGCTGGCGTTGGCAGCCATCCGGCCTGTTCGTTGGGACCAAGTTCCACAAAGAAATCGTCCCCAGACTCTGCGAATTGTGGAGAATCCCCTTTATCTGCGGCAACCCAATCTACCGATCCGTACGCAGCAACTGTGCCAGATTTAGGTCATGCACTAATCCGTGATCAGGACTGGTCCAACCAGATGCCTTCACGTTCGGTATCCTCCCTGTTGCATTCCATATTACCTATCAATCCTGCCCTCAGTTTGTCGGAATCAAAAATGATGGAGGGGAATGCAGAGCGCTTCTCTCCCCTGACCGTTCGGTCTGCATTAAGATATCCTCGGCAGATTCTCCAGAACACGCCTTATCTGAGCGATTCGCATTTACCCATAAACCCGGCATTTGCAGATAAAGCCCTGGCTTCCGTATGACGGAAACCAAGTGTCACTGCCAGGTGACATTTGCGATAAGCAAAAGAACATCCGCTTCTTGATCCAGAACCAGGTTGTTATTGTGATTTGCGGACCCAAGAGAGCAGTACGCGATACCCTTATCCCACGCTTTGGCGCTGTACAGATACTTATTTGGCGTGGCTTTTTGATTCCTCGTTTACAACTGCAAAGCAGCGAGCATGACGGCGAAACTGGAGTTTGTTTCTATTTTATTCGTTTTTTTTTCTCTCTTGGCTTTCGGGTTTCTCGGTTTTATTCCCTTCCTTCCACTATAAAATTGCCGGGTCGAACCCACCTCGTCTTCTTTCGTTAAAAGCAGCAACAGTCTCGTTTTCTTTTTCTTTGTTCTCACGAATGATATGATGACATCCAAATGGCCGGGTTACTTGTTATTGAAAGAAGTTTATGTATATTGATTGGCACCGATGAAAGTCCCTCATGGCCATAGCTGTATTAATTCGATAAAGATTTGGTACGTTCAATCTCGGGTTAGGAATTCCAAGCTGGAAGATCTTGACTAATGTAAGTCATTCTAATAGATATGGACAGCCTGAACGTAGATGGCACTGCTACACGAGTCTATTTGACTCTATTCACTTCACCATAACTCTGCTTTGTTCACATGGATCGTCATCTTCATAATCTGGATTCCCGACACTCTTTGCCAACCGACATGCCTCATCCATGCTATATCCCCCCGATTGGCATTCTCTACTCGTTCCTCTCCAAGACAGCTTCAAAGCTCCTTTGCCACGGCTGTGCATCCGACCCAAGTCCTCGGCCAATAAGAACAATCTTACATTGCTTCTGGCCTTCATCTGATGACGTTGGCTCAGCATCCCGGATTTCAAATACGTCTCGGACTGCCTGAATAACCCTGCTGGAATCATCCTTTGTGATTAATATGCCCTTGAGGCGGTGGATATCGAAATCAATCGGACGAGACTGAGACCCAGGTTGAGATTCCGCAGGTGGCAGAGAAGAGTCCCAAAGGACGGAGCGAAGCCAGGCATCTACGAGGGGGATCTTTTCAGACGGAATGGGAGGGGTTGTTATTGCGATCGTCGAGATGGCCTGGTAAAACTGGTTAGATTCTCGGAGTTAAGGAGAAATAACTTGATCGAGGATGACTTACCGGATCAATATGGCTATGTCCCTTCTCACCAAAATCCAGACTAGCCAAATGATCGTAGGCATGCAGATCCAACACAACGCCTTCAATCTGGGGTGTCTTGCTGTGATCTGTAACATGGATCTTAGCGACACTGTTGATGGCTTGCACTCGCTCTCTGACTTTTCTGAGTTCCTCCGGAGTAACGAGATCAGCCTTATTCAGAATGATCACGTCTGCATGCGATATTTGCATGTGGGCCATGGATAGCACGGGTCCCGAATGGGTATGGTCCTGGCCTTCTTTTTCGTGACTGGACACAGTCTCCTCGGGAGTGGGCTCATCTAGAAGATGTAAGATATTCTTCGCATCGACAAGAGTAACGATTCCGTCTAGGTAAATGGAGCTGCCGAGGTTATCGTCGACCCAGAATACAGGCGCGATGTTGCCAGGGTCGGCAAGGCCGGTTGTTTCCAGCAGGATATAGTCGAATGTGCCTCGGCGCTCCATGAGAGACTCAATAGCCATTACGCCAGAGTCTCTATTTGTCTTTGGTCAGTTGTGTTGTTGTACGGCGTGTGAAGAACTTACTTAACTGAGCAGCAGATGCAACCATTGCCGACTTCCATCCACTCGGTGACTTCTTGGCCATCCTGGTTTACCGTCAATGGCTTCTCGATGTCCGTGGCTTGATTACGTATTAGCGTAAGCACAGGCTTTCAGCGGTCTATATATGCTTGCCCGCCATGTGTATCCATTCTATATGACTTACAGTCACCGAACTCTACAATACTCTTAGTGATGATCGCATGACAGATCTAGGAAACCAACCATTCATTATCACGGCGATCTTCTTGCCATGTTTTTCATTGAGGATGTAATTTAACAGTGTAGTCTTTCCTGCGCCAAGATACCCTTGACAAACTGTCAGCTGGCAGACCCCTAGAAGTACATGCATCACAGTCCTACCGGTTACAAGCGTAATAGGCACCCGACTCTCCGGCGGTGCATCTGCCTCTTGCTGTTCCACATCGGGGATCTGAGAGACATCCACCAGTGCTGGAGGGGCTTCGTCATCGTCTATATCTGCCATGATGAGTAAGATGGGTGATCCGGTCGCGCCACGAGATACTACTGGTATCCCGAAGTATGGGGAAATACAGTAGATGATCTGATTGACGGAATGACGTTACCTAGAGAGGATTAGCTAGGGCTTAGGGCACTGACTAGTCATGAGCTCCGCCGGCGGTATCTCCGTCTCCGTCCCGTCACTCCTTCCAGAAGCTCCGCTTGGTCTAAGCGCCTCCGTCTTTCCTTAACAACTTGTTTTTCTTTCCTTCATTTTAACTTTCGTTTCGGGCTCTCTTTTTAAAGATATTCTTTCATTTCACCTTAAACTCTGCAATTGTTTAGACATGGCTGCTGCGGGAGCTTCTCAGGCTAGCTCCCCGCGCTTACCCAGTCCTCCTCCGTTCACAGAAGTTCAGATCGGCCCCAAATCGCCGTCGGTCGGCGAGTCGTTTGGTCAGGATGCAGAGCAGCTGATAGGTGCTTCCCATGGCGCTGATGATGGCTCAACTCGGAGAATCCGACCAGGAACCAAGTCTGTTGACATGGCAGTTGGTCCGCCTCTGGTCCCTCTCTCCCAGGTATGTAAACAAAACAAAATGCGCCGCACCTCCGCTAACTGGCGCCTCCCCCAAAGCTCGACTCTTCCTTCCAGCTTCAAGAGCACCTCAAGGCCCTCTATAACCACTACACCCGACCCGAAGGTTCTGACGCTGTCGTCCCGATCAACCGGGAGGTTGCCATTCAGCTTGCGGAGCCCCCGGAGGGCGTGGACCGGTCGCTTTGGCTCTATGAGCTTTGCCGCTTCCTTACAATGAAAGTAAACAATCTTATTATTGCTTTCTTCGCCGAGAACCCCCCCTGCTCCGCGCAGACATGCCCAGAAATGCGAGCGTCAGAATGGCAGTATCTCTGCGCCGTTCACGATCCGCCTAAATCCTGCTGTGCGATCGATTATTCTTGTCACACCCTGGATTGGGCAACCAACATCCTCACGTCACCCAAGTACTTCCCTAGTCGTCTCACACTAGGCTCGGAGGCAGGCGGTGGTGCACAGGCGAGCATGAGACATTTGACCAACATCTTTCGTCGCCTCTATCGTATCTTTGCGCACGCCTGGTTTCAACATCGGGAGGTGTTTTGGCAGGTCGAAGGCCACGATGGGCTGTATATCTTTTTCAAGACGGTCTGTGATCTGTACAGCCTGATACCAGAAGACAATTACACTGTTCCGGCTGAGGCAGAGGGTGCCGATCCCGTTCAACCGGCAGAGGAGCAGACGGACGGGCGTCGCATGACCATACTGCGGAAGGAGGGTGAAGGTTCGCTAGCTGCCACACTGCAAGAGCCACCGTCGGCGACCACTCGACGTCACAAGAACAGTCCGTCAGCAAGTTCTCGGGTCACAACTGTCCGCGATGTCACGACCATCAGCGAAAGCGCCGAGGATGACGAGCAGCAGCCGAAACAGCAGGAAACTGAAAAGCCCGCAGAACCGGCACAGAAGGAGCCAGAGCCTCAGCCGCCCGTGGAAGCCTCCAGTGAAGATCCCAAGGCCACTAACGAAGAGGCGCCGATTGGTAGCACCGAGTCACACATTACCGTTGCAGAAGTGCAAGATGATGAAGAAACAGAAGCAGCTCCGCAGGCCATTGACGCAGATCCCAAGAAAAACGAGCAGGAGGAATTAAAACCTAGCACCGAGGGAAGCGATACGCAGAGGGATGAGCCCGAAACAGCCTCAACCGAGGAGGCCCCGAAATCCGAATCAGAGGCGGAGACAGAACAAACCACCGATCAAGAAGCCCAAGCAGTGCCTGAGCCGGCGAAAGAGACGTAAATCTTGCATTCAACAGAACCCTATATTCACTTCCTTCTGATGCCATGCCATGTGTCTATACTACGATTGTAATATGCCTTGCATCACTATCATGCCTGTATTGATGACGTTATCTTTCATTTTTTTTTACTAACAAACTGGATGAGGAAGGTTACTGGTGTGTAATATATGGAATTCGCGTATCCGAATGATTAATGATACCCATTGCCTATATTGGACCGGTAGCTATTCGTAAACGAATGAGGTGTTGTTGTTCCGTTGAATGTAGCTTCATAGACTTGTGGACTTGTCCGAGATCCACTCGACCGGCCATAATGACGCCGCCGCTTCTAACTCCGAATACCTCAACACCCTCTGCTCTCTCAACAACCACGTCGCAGTCGACTTGGCACCTTTCTTATCATAGGAAGTCCTTATAAACCCGTCAACCAGAAAACTCACTTTTACATGCCCATCGAAGACTCCCCCTCCACAATGGCCCTCGCCGCTAAAGGACCGATCCACTTCGGTCCATTCGTCGTCACATCCCAGGTAAATAAAAAAAAAAACCTCCACCCAGGAGCACACAGCCCCCGATTTCCTCCAAAAACACTAACTGATCCTACAAAACCAGGTCTTCCACATCACCCCCCTCTCCTTCGCCCTTGTCAACCTCAAGCCCATCCTCCCAGGCCACGTCCTTGTCTCCCCGCGCCGCATCGTCCCCCGCGTCTCCGACCTCACCCCCTCCGAAACAACAGACCTCTTCCTGACCGTCCGCCGCGTGGGTCGCATGGTCGAGCGCGTCTACGGCGCAAGTAGTCTAAACATTGCCGTGCAGGATGGGGTAGAGGCGGGGCAGAGCGTGCCGCATGTGCATGCGCATATCATCCCGAGGAAGAAGGCGGACTTGGATGCCCGTGGAGGGACGGATGCTGTTTATGATATGCTAGATGGGGAGGAGGGCGATCTGGGGAGGCATTATCGGCAGAAGATGACGAGGTTTCCCGCGGTTGATAATGAGGCGAGGACACCGAGGAGTATGGAGGAGATGGAGGCCGAGGCGAGGATGCTGGCTAAGGAGATGGAGGCCGAGGAGGTGGATTGAATTGGAGTGTTGTGTGTAGTATTCATAGACGCATAGATCTTTACTCTTTTTTGCGTGGATACCCTGTTTTTTTTTTTTTCTTTTTCTGTGGATTCTAACTTGGTTTGTGATTGAGTTTTCCACTGTGTTCTTTCAATGTGTATGTGACAAGACTCATCGATCGTCGATAATATCTAAATCTAATCATGGGCCCATCCAAACGCCGCCACCCGTCTAGTGGTATGCATGATGATGATAATAATTAAAGAGAAGCAAAGGAAAAATAACCAGAAAGAAATAGGTAGCTCGTAAGGCATCGACACCATTAAACATAACCCGAAAGCAAAGTCAACCGAAAGACTATCACCCGTATCAATGATTCACACTCTTATTTCTAAACTCCATTGGCGGTCTTCTTCTTCCAGAAAGCTTCGCGCTCCTGGAGCACCGCCGCCGCCCATTCCTTGATTTCCGGTAGCTGGACACGGTTCGCGACATGGCAGAACTCAGAAAGATCGAGATCGTGGGCACGCTCATACTCGACCATCTGCAGGAGAAGCTCCATCTTGTCGATATCGTGTACGTACTTGGATTCCAGCGTCTCATTGTCCTCATACTCCTGGAACACCTTCATAACCTCATCTCCGGTCAAAATTCCACCGGGAACACCTCCCAGCAGGTTCTTGGTGATGTAGTTCATCACCTCGGCCTCGCGGCGAGCCTTCTCTTCCTTGTTCACGTTGTCCACTGGGGTGATGTCGCCGACCAGCGACTCTGCCATGTCGTGGATGAGAGCCATCTTCATGCAATGGGGCAGGTTGAGTCGTGGGGCGAGCGAAGGCGGGGCAAGCATCGTCATCACCGACATGCGGTACATGTGGTCCGAGATCGATTCGCCTTCTGTGATGCCGAAGCGGCGCCAGCCTTCCCGTTTGGTGGTCTTCAGGCGCTCGAGGAGGTGGAAAAATGGAATCGGGGAAGCAGAGTTCTCCTCCGGGGGGTGAGGAAGGGTGGCCAGCACTAATTCAATCTGTTAGCTTTTGTTTACGGTTTCTGGGTGTCATTGCAGAGTTTCTCTCACCGGACTGCGTGGTCCAGAGGGGATTGGACGGTGTTTCAGAGCCCATTTTGAAGGTATTCGAAACGGTATAAAGAAAAAGAAAAAAGAAAAAAGAAAAAATTAAACTCAATACACAGAAACGGAGGGGAGAAGGGCCTTATATGCTTGAACGAAAGACTAGCTGAGGGAGGGGAAAGAAAGGAGCCCAAAAACTGAGGGGAGATTCTGCGGGGGGAGGAGAAAGAGAAGAAGGCGGTGAAGGGGACTGATAACCAACCTGATAAACAATATAAACAAGCACATGATTGGCACTCGATCTGTGGTCCCCGCAAACCACTTTGATTTACTCTCCTCGCGTTCTCCCCACCCACTGCTATTCCAGATCAGTTCTAGCATCTATGATCGGGTTCTTGTAGACGTCATTGTCTATGGCACTGCCACCGGTGCGGACTGAGGATCGCTGGTATACAACCCCTTTCTCCAGTTCTTCGTCTTCGGGGGACGTTGCTGACCGCTTCAGTATCTCGCAATCATGCAGTCGGCCCGACCTCCCTCTCGGTCCAAAAGACCGGATTGGACACCGCAACCACCCGTAGCTGTCTTTGTCCGGAACCTCCAGCTGCTGCAACTAGACTCCCGTGATGACTGGCCGGGCATTACAGTTCGCTCGTTATCCCCCTCATCGCAGAACCAGCGCCAGCGTGTCAAGGCCATCGAATGGGCACTCTACCAATTAGTGGCACTCTGGGACCTGGAAACCGCTCGGGATGTATGTGCGCTTCAACCTCGAGTGTGTGGCATACCGACTGACAGAATACGCTAGAAACTCCGGCCCTTCTTTCCTCCACTGGAGCCATTGCAGTCGGTCAATCTGCGCGCCGCCCTGTTTCGTGTGTTGTCCGAGTTGAAGAAGAACGGGGACTTAGGAAAAGAGACTATCCTACGGAAGTCAATGCTCGATGACTGCAAGGGGGAGAAATTTGACGAGCTTCTTGCAGTGTTTTCGACTGCAGTTCTCCGCAAAGCCCTGGCCGCCTCGGCGGATGAAGGACTTGGGACCCCCGCTATGAAGTTGTCAATGGCCTCGGGGTTGACTCAACAAGAATATCAACGCATTCTGCCCCTTATTCTTGCGCATCGCGTCTCTTTGAGAGGGGTGGGAGAACACCACAGCCGAGTACGGGACACGCATGAGAGTTTCTCGCAATTGTTGGATTACAAAAAGAGTCAACTAGAATTGCAGTTCAAGGAAGAGCGTCCCCACATTCCGGATGAGGCTGACTTTGATGGATTGGCACTGAAGTTCAGGGCCAATTGTCTGAGCAACCCGGATTGGGCCGATGCTCTGCTATATGGAGGTGCCCGCAGTAGCAGCGATGCATTTCTGGAACTGCCTTTTTCAACAGCATGGTCCAAGGCAAAAGCGTCGACGGTAGAGGACCTTAAGACAAACACTGCTCCAGATCTGTTGATTGACTTGGAGACACGTATCACGAGGCAGCGCGCCCGTTTGCAGAGATGGCATCAGTATCGCAGTTCAATGCTGAGACATGAGCGGGCAGAATCGACGAACTCAACGAAGAGTCCTCCCTTGGCGTTCCGGGACCACCAGGCACTCACTGTCGCCAGCATTGCCAGAGCTGTTCGCGAACCAGTAGAACGCATTTCCCCCAAGGCGGATGATCGCGCCCTCCTGTTTTCCATGACGGAAGCGCTTGCTCGAATCGAAGGCACGCACCGCTCATCTTCACGAGCCACTCCATTGCATGCCCCTGTAGTCGATGCAGATCGTCGTACGGCTGGGCATGAATCGTCATCCTCAAGCAATACGTCATCCCCTCGATTAATTCAGCAAGATGCCATCGCCAAGAGCACACCCTCGGGCAGTGTTACATCTGAAGCGGATGATGCTATAGGTCGATCTAGGTCTCCCTCGCTGCAACTCTCTTCTGATCTGGAATTCAAACCTGCCCAGCGCAAGGAGCGCAACACATATAACCTAATTGAGCGGACCCGGAAATCCATGTCGTTAGTTCCCCCTCCGCCAAGTAACCCACGGCCTAGGGAGAGTCTTCGACCTCGCCGTCCGCGGCCCTCTTTCCCCGTGAACCAATTCGAACTGCCCGAGAGGCAGACTCCCGAAATCAGCAGAGCATCTACGCCGCGCGATGAGCTGTTCGAAGAAGAGGCAGACTACGCCAGTGTTTTCAAATCCCGGCCACGGGTCGCTCATAGCCCTGTTTCTTCACCGGCAGTGCACGTAAGTGCGGTGGAAGATTTCGATCTCGGCATGGACATGGATTCTAGACTGGAGATGAGCGAGGCCTATGACATGGATTCGCCCCTGCCTAGACGGCGTAGGTAACTGTCCCGTTGCTGATCACCTTGTACAGTTCACTTGAGTCCTATACAGCATAGTCATATAGACAGTATACCCCTATAGTCTATCTGATCTAATTGGTCGGTTGATAATTTATATACACGGCTATAGCCAAGACAGTGTGCCAGTAGATTGTCATCAATTCCAATATCTCATATCTGTTTCTAACTCCTATCCTGTATCGGTGTCCATCCCTAACTCCGTTATTACATAGCTATAAGCATCATTCCAAAAAAACAAGATACCAAAACGCATGGGGTAAGGAAAGCTAAAGGGGACATTAACCCTTCCGCGTTGCATTCCGAGTACGTCTCCGCGTAGTAGGAGGTACATACTCAGGCTCCGAATCAGAAAGTTGCTCTTCAGAATCCGCTATCTCTGGCAAAGAAGAGAGTTCCTGGGCGGAGCTAGTATCCGGGATTTCCCGTTCCAAGGCCCCTGCATCATCCGATTCAGCAGCAGCCTCAAGTTCACGTTCAGGTTGCGTAGGCTGGTGTCTCTCAACGATGAGATCTCCATCATCGCCGTCATCTTCACCAGGAAGAAGGAACCCTCCGCCGCGGTCAACCGGATCTCCCTCCTCTGATGGTTCTCGGACGTAAGGTTCCGGTGTAGTGGCCTGCTGGCCTGATTTACGGCTTGTGAATGGGTTATATGCGTCTCGTTCATGGTCACGGGAAGATTCGCCGTATTCTTCGCGGACACGCTCGGCGATGCGCAGACCGAAGAGGAATTTGCGCCAGGTTTGAAGGATGCGCGCTTCGGCTTTGCGGCGCTCTTTTTCGCGCTTTTCTGCGGCGTCAGCGCGCCAGGCGTCCTTAACTAGGTCTTCGTTTTCCGAGGCTACGACGACGCCTTCGATGACGGGAACGGCCATCTTGGAACCGAATTCGAAGCCCGTGACGGCTTCGGCGTAGTCGATGCCGAGTTTCTTGCAGATGCGCACGGTGCCGGGCCAGGGGATGTGCGTGGCACCGCGGGGCACCATGCTGGGGACGAAGCAGTCGATGTTGCCGTAGTCATTTTTGGGGATGACACCGTCCCGGATAGGTGGCGGGATGATGTATTCTGTTTGGTATTTGGCGTAGAGGCCCTGCTTGGGCTTTTCGCCGGTTTCGCGCTCTAGTTCGTCGACTTCGCGTTTGCGGAGAAGCGTTACGGCGCGGATGGGCACTCGTTTTAGTGGCGCTTCGCCTTTCTTGATCTGTCGGCCTTCTTTGTGCCAGCTCTCGGCGGAGAGGCATTTTAGGACATCTGCTCGTCGGTAGATCTTCTCTTCCTTGGCCTTGATGCCTTTTCCGGTCACGAAGGTGCGGACGTGTTGGGAGCCTGGTTTTAGGGCTTCTTCGCGGCGGAGGAAGCGTTCTAGGACAAACTCGGCTGAGGCCTTGAGGCTTTGGAGCGTGTCACCTTCCTTAGCTGCCTTTTTCTCGGGTTGATTCGGTACCAGGTCATTTGCATCCTCAAGGTCGTCGACCGCCGTCTGGCTTTTTGCTGAACGCTCGTAGATTCGTAGGATGACACGAAACCAGTTGTACTCATGGAACTTGCCTCTCCGGCCGGGCACGGGAATCTTTTCTGCTGGCATTCGATAGCCCTTCGTCTTGCCAGGCCACGTACGACGGCGGAGATACCGCGTGGTGACATCTTTTGCCGTCTTGTCGGACGAATATGCTACCACATAGCAAATCACTTGCTTAGCTTTCTCAGCTTTAGCCCCTCGAGGCTCGAATGCGGCCAGGAGCTCTGGCGTTGTCGCTACAGCATTCGGCAATATCAGCGGGTCGACGGGAATGATCTGGTGGGTAACCGGAGACGCAACTTCTGTCCAATAGATCGGAACAGGAAGATCCTTGTCATACCCCTTGGGGTTATTTCTACTGCCCGCTGGTTTCTGGTCACAGCTATCATCGGAATCTACATCCATAGCATCCTGAGTTTCCCCAGTATCAGTTTGGGCTTCTGCCTCAACCTTGGCTTTCTGCGTGTGTGTCTCTGCCTTGGTCCAACCGAACCCTAAAGGCTGGAGACTGGCGACGAGTCGAGCTTCGATCGAGAGCGCACGAAGTAATGCAGTAAACAGCTGAGCACCCAGGTCACGAGACCCTTCCATACGCTCTGCAGCCTGTCGAAACTCATCAATACCGCAGACCCTCTCCCCAAATCTCTCAGGATCGTGTTCTTCCTTGTTGAAGGCGGATATGTCAGCCTCGAGGTGGGACATAGGCCGGTAGCCACGTTTTCGTAGCCCCGGGGCGGTGATCCTGAATTGTTTCTTCCAGAATGCAGCCAGGACCTTGAGTAATGTGATAATAGGGTCTCCACGGCTCATATCCGGCCGACCAGGTTCCATCCGCGATGAGCCCTCGCCCCAGTCTCTCTCTGATTTGCGACGCTGCTTCCCTTTCTTTTTCTTGGCCGTCTCTTGCGGGGGCTTTTCGGGAAGCTCCAAGCCAGAAGACACTTTCCATTTTTTGACCTCTTTATGAAGGGCGTCAGGTAGCTTGCGACGTAGAATATCGTGGACCTGGGGGTCGTTTGCCCAAGCATTTCGGAGAGCGTTGTGATGGAGCAAGAACTGGACATGCAGGCAGTGCGTTAGGACCCGGATTTGGCGTTCAATTTTGGATGGAGCTTTCTTCCCATCGATGATATCGGACAGATGAACCTCGTTTTTGTCGAGAGTCAACTCTAGATCCTGGACGTGGGCGGGTGTCATCGAAGGAGTAGTCGCTGTGGCGGTGGTAGCCTTCGATTCCATTGCATCTTCCCAATCCACTTCGTCGTCGTCCGATTCCAATTCGTCACTAAGCTCATCTTTGATTTCCTGATCCTGAACAGCAGTTTCATCGGGAACGTCGCTTAATGGGGAGTCTGATTCGTCATCGAGGGCGGCGATGTCGACACTGGGAGCAGCTGTCGCATTGTGGCGTTTGGCACTGGGCGGATCCGCGGAGGAGAGTCGCTTGCGGGGGACGAAGGGGGGCATACGAAGAATTCAAGGAGGACTAATTAGTGAAGAGAGTGAAAGACGAGGGCGAAACGAGCGAGTTAGACGAAACAAGGAAGATGAAAGATTGTATGTAAATTTCACAAGACTTGCGGAGTTGTCAGAGATAACGATAAGTCAGTCAGCCGAGGATTTACGATCAACTGAATCTAGATTCCCGGAACAACTTCCCCACCTTTTACTTTCTCGTCATTCCTCTTCTCTCCTCTGTACTTATCTCTGGGTTTCCTCTTGGGATTATCTAGTCGTTGTCTTACTGTTCTTCCCTCTCCTTTATTTTCCCAGTCACAGCCAATATGGAGGCAGTCAAGCGTTTCTTCTCTTCCCCGCGCTTTGCGGTCGCGGGCGCAAGTAACGACAGCAACAAGTTTGGTTACAAGAGTAGGCCTATGAACCCCCAAGCTTTGGTCGATCAATGAGTAACGATATACCGATGGATTAGTCCTTGCATGGTATCACCAGCATTCCCTACCTGTCACCCCTCTCAATCCTCGCGCACCGCAGATTGAACTGCCCTCTCGTGCCTACGACACGGTCGCATCGCCCCGTGCCTTGCCTACGCCATCGCAGACATCCTTATCGGTTGTGACCCCGCCAGCGGTCACTCTGCCGTTGCTCCAGGAGGCTCATTCGGTGGGAATTCCGGCCGTGTGGTTGCAGCCCGGAACGTTTGATGACGCCGTCCTGGAATTCGCTCACCAGCACTTTGCGGCAGTGATCGCAGGCGATGGGGGAGCGGGAAGTGAAGGTTGGTGTGTCTTGGTGGACGGCGAAGAAGGACTGGAGGCTGCAGGAGTGCAGTGGGCGAGCCAGAAGTTGTAGGGGCGCTCAAGACTATCTATCCCGAGGGAGCGGTGTGCTGTATCCGACAGTGTCCTAGCACCTCGGTACCCTTCACAGCATGTATATAGTAGTATAGGTCTCGCCACCAGTGAATCTCATCGTCTCTCAACATGAAACTAGTAAGGTAGATTCGTCGTTCTAGACGCCTTCGTAGAAGTAGCGGTGGACCAATAAGGCTTGGGTCACTGCAAGAGCTCACATGTCCTGCTGAATGGATAGAATCCATTGGCCATGGCGCATGAACCAGGCGACGTTCGACTACAAAGGAAAAAGAAGAGGCTTGGAAACGGGTAAATTAGTGGCTTAGTCCATGAATCATTGGCAAAGGTTGTTGCTGCGGTGAGACATGTCAATGGATGAGAAAATCGAGCTAATTAATCCCGCCCCCCGTATTTTCATCGTTTATTCATAGACTAAATTCCTTGCTCTTTTCACTCTCCCACGCTTACCTTGCTTTTGTATACTCTTTTCAACCACTCTTTTTCCACATTCAACCCTCCCAGTAAAATAGCAAAAAAGGAAAAGGAGATAAAAAAAACACGTTACAATACGTTTGTCACAAGGGGAAAGAGATGCCCACCAGTTCCTTCGTTCTCGACTCGCCCATCCCTCCCCAACTTGATCTTGCTGGTGCTCCCTCACAGCTCTTCCTGCCGCCGAATCCCTCTGCCTCGTCGGCCCTTTTTCGCTCCATCGCCATCCCCAGCCGCAAGAGAGCGCGGGGAGTGGAGTCCGGACACCGCTCATGGCTCGATTCTCCATCCAGTCCCACCTCCTTCGCTGTCGCCGATGATCGTCTCGCCGGAGTAGACGACGTCTCTGCTGAGCATGACTACCGACCCAGTCGCTATCGAGATCCGCCGCTGAACCTCCCCCTGGATTCCAGCGTTGAGTCGCTCAGCGATGCATCCGGGGCTCGTCGCAAGCGCAGCCGGCGAGATCCGTCATCGGTGGTGGCACCATCCCCGTCGGGACCGGAGGATGAGAAAATCACCCAGGACAACAACTACTATCCTCAAACTGCCCCCGTGCGCTGGAGCCGCGCAGTTTTGGATGTGGTAGGAAAGGTCTGGGACTTTTGCTGGTCGGGAGCCTTCCGCGGATTCTACGCCGGTGGTGGTCGCGGGTATGCGATGACGGCTGGTGATCCGTCGGTATCGCTGGGCCCTGATGACCACTCGTGGCAGCCAACGACGGAAAAACACGATCTCTCCTCTCCATCTGCGGGGACTCATGGCTGGAGTGAGTCGACTCCTCTTTCGGACGATCACATTGATGACGACCTGCATCACAACTGGGTTGTGGTGGGCCACGATGAGTTCGGCTATGAGGCGAGTCCATCAACCCGGAGGCGAGTCCATCGTAGAACGTCCTCGTATGGCCATTTGCGTCGACGACAGCCGGTGAAGCGGACCTTGGTGTCGCAACCGGCGTCGATAACGACCAAGTCGCACTTCTCTGCGCCGGCGAAGCCGCGTGAGACCCCTGTGTCCGTGGAGACGCAGCGTTACATGGCCCAGAAGCGTCGCATGGAGCGCGAGGAAGATGCGAGCCTGGCCCGTTTGAATCGACAGCTACAGGCCATGATCAAAGAAGGGCAGCAGGCGTTGGGGACCAGAGTGGAGGTGGACGACTTCATGGAGGATTAGGATCGGTGTTGCTACTTTAATTTCTCACCCAGGGATACCCCACACAATCGTTTAATATTTGATTTTCCAAAGGACCGCATTAGGGCCTTTCTCGTTACTGATGGCATGTTGGTATGAAACTTTATTCGACGAAGACTCGACCTGTTACGATACGATGCAATGTTTTTATTATAGTGATGTTTAGCCATAGCCATGAATTACGAAGCATGAAGAATGACAGTCATTGTGTTGATCACGTCTGAAAAAAAAAAAAAAAAAAAAAAAACCTTGATCTTGACCCGGTGTATAAATGCATGAGATGAATTATATATGAGACCCCATCTCCCTATTGACCGGCCGTCGAGGGACCTTCCGTCGTGCCCTTCTCGACGCTACCAACATGGACACTCTCCTGCAATGTCTTGGCCACACCAGCTAAGCCATCCTTATTCAACAAGTCACCAAGATTGTTAGCCTCGATTCGGCGTTGGATCTGATTCGGCTGCGTCTGTACTCCATCAGCATGTCAACATTCAACCACATCCCCACAAGCAGGAAACCTAGGACCTGGCAAACTTAACCGAAAAGAAAAAGAAAAGAAAAGAAACATACAGGAGCCGGCATCGCCATTGAAGCCACAAGGAAGAGAGAAACGACCGTAACGGAGAGCTTCATTTTGGACGAGTCTGGTCAAAGAAACTAACAATGCTTGTTAGCGACCCCATTCAAGAGACGGCGAATATTAGGGACATGACATACGTTTCGGTACCCAGTGGTTGCAGTCGAGATGGGACACAAGAGATTCAGGAAACTGGAGGGATCAGGCCTTTGGGTTGGTGTGTTCCCGTTCATATACTCACTCCGTGCTTACTTGGGGCGAGTGTTGTCTCATCCCTTCATACTTTCTTCATGTCTCACGACGTTTGCTGGTATGCGGGAATGGGAGTATTTTGGGTTGACGTGGAGGCATCTTCTGGGGCTAGTTTCTTGCCGTAGGTTTTGTGTTGAGCTTATAAATCAATTAGATGGAGGGTTGGAATTATTATAGGATATGAGTTGAAGGTTGTATATATATATATATA